GAGGGAAGAAAGGAGAAGGAAGGAGGGAAAGAAGAAGAAGGAAAGAAGAAGGGGAGAGAAGGAAGGAAGAGGAGGAAGGAGAGGGAAAGAGGAGGAGGAGGAAGGAAAGAAAGAGGAAGAAGAAGGGAAGGAAGGGAAAAGAAAGAGAGAAAGAAGGAGGGAAGGATGAAAGGGACCGAACCAGAAAAGAAAAAAGAATTAATCCTTCTGAGGAAAGTAAGTGGAGAACAAGGTAAAATTGCGTCTAAAGCAACCAGGGCGGACTTCCAGAGGACCTATAAATCGGACCTCCGGCCGCCTGAGCTCCATACTTATCGCGTTCCGAGGGCGTGGAACATCCTGTTGTGTTTTGTTTATATTTGTTGTTTTATTAATTGTTTGTGAGTTTGAAATTAAGTGTGCTAGATGTGTGCATGTGTGTTCCTTCAGGAAGTGTAATTATAATGTAATAATCATGTCTAATGTAATATAATATTTATATATATGTTATAATATAAATATAATATATGTAAATATAATTAAGTAGTTAATAACTTTTGATTATTATTGTGCGTGTGTGTGGATAATAATATATATGATATATAATTAGTAATATGGTGAGCGTATATATCCGTATGGTTGATGATGATGATATATAATACTACTAATATGATTAGATTATGTCATTCTTTTGCTCTCTCTTTGTTTTGATGTTAATCAAATATTAAAACTTTAATGTGTGTAAAAATATTATTATATAAATAATATAGTCAATGAGATGGTGCGTTTGTTGTTGTCCATTTTCTCCATGTTAATGAATAATAAATAATAATGGTGATCCTTTTGCGATCTGATGATTTGAGTGCATACCAATAATGTTCATATTACGTTGACTAATATAAAATATATAATATACCAATGATATGTTGCGTTTTTGCTATCCGATATATAGCCGTGCTTAATATTAATTAGTAATATATTATTAATATAATATAGATGTGAGCTTTGTGCATCTGGATGTTGTAATGAGATAGTATTTCGAGGCATTCACCAGTCCTAATCTTTGAAGTGTTCCTGGAGTGTGTTGAGTTTTGTGTACACAAGCCGCAAACGTCTGATGCATCGATCCTACTGTGTGTCTGGCTTAAGGTGTTGTCGTGGAGAGTGAATGAGTGGATCGAGTCGGAAGGATTGGTTGAGAATATTCCCTTGAGATGTGAGCTTTTTTGCTATTTGATGATGATGAAGTAGATAAAGTACATGACCTCACAATCTCCGAGGATGCTTGGCATAGATGCAGGTGAAATGTCAGGAGATAATGCTTCTAGAACATGGCCATAGAGCCCTAAAAACCTACAACAACCCAGTGATTCCAGCCATTGAAGCCTTCGACAATATGATGATAATATTAATATTAATAATAATAATACAATGAGATGTGAGCTTTTTTTGCTATCTGATTATGGTTATATTATTATTATTGTTGTTGTTGTTATTGAGATGGTGAGCTTTTTTGCCATCCAATGATGATGATGATGATGATAATATAATGAGATGTGAGCTTTTTTTGCTATTCGATTATATTATTATTATTATTATTATTATTATTGAGACTGTGAGCTTTTTTGCTATCCAATGATGATGATGATGATGATATAATGAGAGAGATATGAGCTTTTTTGTGACCCAATAAATAAATAAACATCCTAAACACAAGGATTTTGCTATCCGATTATGATTATATTATTATTGTTATTATTATTATTATTATTATTGAGATGGTGAGCTTTTTGGCTATCCAATGATGATGATGATGATGATGATGATATAATGAGAGAGATATGAGCTTTTTTGCTATCCAATAAATAAATCAACACCCCAAGTGCAAGGAGTCAAACCAATGGGAAGACAATGCATTGAAAGCATAATATAACCGATGGCACCCCCAGGCCATCGAGGGGGGATCAGTATCCAATGAGGAGGATGAGGAAGATGATGAGGATGATGTGGACCCCCCCTTTCCCTCCAAGTGTGTGGGTGTGAGGTGGGTGGGCTGTGGTCTTGGAGCCCCCTTGAGAGTGACACTCCACCCCCCCCCCGGCCTGGTCTTGGGCTGGGGGGGGGGGGGGGTCCGGGCTCGTCCCCTCCCCTTAAAGAAGGGCGAGGGGGGAGTAGTATCCAATGAGGAGGAGGATGAGGATGATGATGATGGCAATGCCATGATGTGGCCCCCTTCACCCCCTTTCCCTCCAAGTATGTGTGGGGGGTGGGTGGGCTGTGGTCTTGGAGCCCCCTTGAGAGTGACACTCCACCTCTCCCCCCACCTGGTCTTGGACTGGGTGGGGGGGGGGGTCCGGGCTCGTCCCCTCCCCTTAAAGAAGGGCGAGGGGGGAGTAGTATCCAATGAGGAGGAGGATGAGGATGATGATGATGGCAATGCCATGATGTGGCCCCCTTCACCCCCTTTCCCTCCAAGTATGTGTGGGGGGTGGGTGGGCTGTGGTCTTGGAGCCCCCTTGAGAGAGACACTCCACCTCTCCCCCCACCTGGTCTTGGACTGGGTGGGGGGGGGGGGTCCGGGCTCGTCCCCTCCCCTTAAAGAAGGGCGAGGGGGGAGTAGTATCCAATGAGGAGGAGGATGAGGATGATGATGATGGCAATGCCATGATGTGGCCCCCTTCACCCCCTTTCCCTCCAAGTATGTGTGGGGGGTGGGTGGGCTGTGGTCTTGGAGCCCCCTTGAGAGAGACACTCCACCTCTCCCCCCACCTGGTCTTGGACTGGGTGGGGGGGGGGGTCCGGGCTCGTCCCCTCCCCTTAAAGAAGGGCGAGGGGGGAGTAGTATCCAATGAGGAGGATGATGAGGATGATGATGATGGCAATGCCATGATGTGGCCCCCTTCACCCCCTTTCCCTCCAAGTATGTGTGGGGGGTGGGTGGGCTGTGGTCTTGGAGCCCCCTTGAGAGAGACACTCCACCTCTCCCCCCACCTGGTCTTGGACTGGGGGGGGGGGGGGTCCGGGCTCGTCCCCTCCCCTTAAAGAAGGGCGAGGGGGGAGTAGTATCCAATGAGGAGGAGGATGAGGATGATGATGATGGCAATGCCATGATGTGGCCCCCTTCACCCCCTTTCCCTCCAAGTATGTGTGGGGGGTGGGTGGGCTGTGGTCTTGGAGCCCCCTTGAGAGAGACACTCCACCTCTCCCCCCACCTGGTCTTGGACTGGGTGGGGGGGGGGGGCCGGGCTCGTCCCCTCCCCTTAAAGAAGGGCGAGGGGGGAGTAGTATCCAATGAGGAGGAGGATGAGGATGATGATGATGGCAATGCCATGATGTGGCCCCCTTCACCCCCTTTCCCTCCAAGTATGTGTGGGGGGTGGGTGGGCTGTGGTCTTGGAGCCCCCTTGAGAGAGACACTCCACCTCTCCCCCCACCTGGTCTTGGACTGGGTGGGGGGGGGGCCGGGCTCGTCCCCTCCCCTTAAAGAAGGGCGAGGGGGGAGTAGTATCCAATGAGGAGGATGATGAGGATGATGATGATGGCAATGCCATGATGTGGCCCCCTTCACCCCCTTTCCCTCCAAGTATGTGTGGGGGGTGGGTGGGCTGTGGTCTTGGAGCCCCCTTGAGAGAGACACTCCACCTCTCCCCCCATGGACTGTGGGGGGGGGGGGGTCCGGGCTCGTCCCCTCCCCTTAAAGAAGGGCGAGGGGGGAGTAGTATCCAATGAGGAGGATGATGAGGATGATGATGATGGCAATGCCATGATGTGGCCCCCTTCACCCCCTTTCCCTCCAAGTATGTGTGGGGGGTGGGTGGGCTGTGGTCTTGGAGCCCCCTTGAGAGAGACACTCCACCTCTCCCCCCACCTGGTCTTGGACTGGGTGGGGGGGGGGTCCGGGCTCGTCCCCTCCCCTTAAAGAAGGGCGAGGGGGGAGTAGTATCCAATGAGGAGGAGGATGAGGATGATGATGATGGCAATGCCATGATGTGGCCCCCTTCACCCCCTTTCCCTCCAAGTATGTGTGGGGGGTGGGTGGGCTGTGGTCTTGGAGCCCCCTTGAGAGTGACACTCCACCTCTCCCCCCACCTGGTCTTGGACTGGGTGGGGGGGGGGGGTCCGGGCTCGTCCCCTCCCCTTAAAGAAGGGCGAGGGGGGAGTAGTATCCAATGAGGAGGATGAGGATGATGATGATGGCAATGCCATGATGTGGCCCCCTTCACCCCCTTTCCCTCCAAGTATGTGTGGGGGGTGGGTGGGCTGTGGTCTTGGAGCCCCCTTGAGAGAGACACTCCACCTCTCCCCCCACCTGGTCTTGGACTGGGTGGGGGGGGGCCGGGCTCGTCCCCTCCCCTTAAAGAAGGGCGAGGGGGGAGTAGTATCCAATGAGGAGGAGGATGAGGATGATGATGATGGCAATGCCATGATGTGGCCCCCTTCACCCCCTTTCCCTCCAAGTATGTGTGGGGGGTGGGTGGGCTGTGGTCTTGGAGCCCCCTTGAGAGAGACACTCCACCTCTCCCCCCACCTGGTCTTGGACTGGGTGGGGGGGGGGGGTCCGGGCTCGTCCCCTCCCCTTAAAGAAGGGCGAGGGGGGAGTAGTATCCAATGAGGAGGAGGATGAGGATGATGATGATGGCAATGCCATGATGTGGCCCCCTTCACCCCCTTTCCCTCCAAGTATGTGTGGGGGGTGGGTGGGCTGTGGTCTTGGAGCCCCCTTGAGAGAGACACTCCACCTCTCCCCCCACCTGGTCTTGGACTGGGGGGGGGGGGGGTCCGGGCTCGTCCCCTCCCCTTAAAGAAGGGCGAGGGGGGAGTAGTATCCAATGAGGAGGAGGATGAGGATGATGATGATGGCAATGCCATGATGTGGCCCCCTTCACCCCCTTTCCCTCCAAGTATGTGTGGGGGGTGGGTGGGCTGTGGTCTTGGAGCCCCCTTGAGAGTGACACTCCACCTCTCCCCCCACCTGGTCTTGGACTGGGTGGGGGGGGGCCGGGCTCGTCCCCTCCCCTTAAAGAAGGGCGTGCGCGCTCTCGTGCCTGCTCGGGGGCGCGCTCCTCCTCCGGACCCTCCCCTCTTCCTCTTCCTCTTCCTCGACACGAGTGGAGGTGGCTGTGCTTCCCCGAAGTGGGCTCCAGAGGGAAGGCAGGCTGAGGCAGGCAGGCTGAGGCAGGGCTCCCTTCTTTGGCCCCCCATGGACCCCCCAGGCCCTTCCCTGGAATCGGGGGGCCCCGCTCCAGCCTTGGGGGAGACGCCCCCTTAGACAGACAGACAGACAGACCCGCCGCCGGAGCCCGCCCCACATCAGACGGTAAGGACGGAGCAGAAGGGGGAGGGAGGGGGGTGTCTGGGCCCAAAGGGTGGGCGGGGGTCCCCCCCCTTTAAAGACCTTTAAGGACCCAAGCAGAACTGGGGGGGGGGGCGGGCTTTGGAGGGTGCCGGGCTTCCCAGGAGGCAGGGCGTCGGGTTTTGGGGGGCTTTGGGGTTCCCAGGGAAGGGGCTTGGGGATAATGCTCTGGGGGGGGGGGGGGTGTCCGTATTGAGAGACCCCTCCCTCTTTGGACTTCCAGGCTTTTTCGCCCCATGGGAGGGAAAGAGAGGGTGGGGGGCTGGACGGGAGGCACGCCCCGAAGGCGGAAAAGGACCCGTTGGGGAGCCCTCCTTTTCCTCCGGGGGGGGGGGGAAGTGGCCCTTTTGGGAAAGGAGGAGGGGGAGGGGGGCCCAGGGCCCTTCTTTTCCTCAGAGGGGGGTGGTGAAGTGGCCCTTTTGGGAAAGGAGGAGGAGGGGGTCCCAGGGCCCTTCTTTTCCTCAGAGGGGGGTGGTGAAGTGGCCCTTTTGGGAGGTCCCAGAGCCTGGCTTCTTCTCTCCCCCCCCCTCCAACTTCTCTCCGGGTGTTGGGTTTGCCCTCTTCCACTCCAGGGAGCAGCCTCAGGGGGGGCCTGTTTGTCTGCCTGTCTGTCCGGGAGATGGCGAAGGGAGGGGTCAGTTCTCGGGTGCCCCCTCCTCCTCCCTTCTTTCAATCTCTCTCTCTTCTCTCTCTGCTTTGTTATGATGGATGGACGGAAGGAAGAGAGGGAAGGAAGAGAGAGAAGGAAAGAGAGAGAAGGGAAGGAAGGGAGGAAGGAGAAGAGATGGAAAGAAGGAGGGAAGGAAAGAAAGAAGGGTAGAGAATGAAGGAAGGAGAGAAGGAGGGAGAGAAGAGAGGGAGAAAGAAAGAGGAAGAGGAGGGAGAAGAAGAGGAGGAAGAAGGGAGAGAGGAGAAAGAAGGAAGGAAGAGAGAAGAGAAGGAAAAGAAGAGGAGGGAGAGAAGGAAGGAGGAGGAAGAGGAGAGGAAGGAAGAAGAGAGAAGGAAGGAGGGGAGGAAGGAGAGGAGAAGGAGAAGAGGAGGGGAGAAGAAGGAGAAGAGAGAGAAGGAGAGAGAGAGAAAGAAGAGGAAGAGAAGGAGGGAGAGAAAAGGAGGGAGGGAAGAAAGGGAGGAAGGAAGGAGAAGAAGGAAAGAGGGAAAGAAGGAGGAGGAGAAGGAAGGGAAGGAAGAGAGAAAAGGAGGGAAGGAGAGAGAGAAGAGAAGAAGGAGGAAGAGGGAAAGAGGAGAAGGAAGGAAGGAGAGAGGGGGAAAGAGGAAGGAAAAAGGAGGGAAGGAGGAGAAAGAGGGAGGAGAGGAGGAAGAAGAGAAGAAGGAAGGGAGGAAGGAAGAGGGAAGGAGAGAAGGAAGAGAGAAAATAATAATAATAATAATATACATCACAGTCCTAGACACTTGGGAAGTGTCCGACGTGTGATCCAATTCAAGAGCCAGCAGAGTGTCTGCTGTGGACTCATCTTGTTGTGTTTCAAATAATAATAATAATAATAATAATAATAATAATAATAATAATAATAATAATACATCACACAGTCCTAGACACTTGGGAAGTGTCTGACGTGTGATCCAATTCAACAGCCAGCAGAGGGATCTTGTCTGCTCTGGACTCAGCTTGTTGTGTTTCAAATAGTAATAATAATAATTAATAATAATATATTTTTATGTTTGTACCCGGCCTCAATCTCGGGGCGCCTGACCTGGGGACAAGCCCGATCAACAGTTTAAAATATAACACAATCAAGTTCATGAAACAACGACATAAAACAACATAAATCCACCATTGAGCAAACAACCCATGTCCTGATATTGGGAAGAACGTCTGGGCTCGGCCAAAATTACCTGGGGAAGGGTCTCATCAAAACCACAGGGGAACATCCATGTTTTTAGATCCTTACGGAAAGGTGGAGAGGGTGGGGGCCAGCCTCATCTCCCTGGGGGGAGAGCTCCAGAGCTGGGGGGCCACCACGGAGAAGCCCCCGCCTCACGTACTCAGGGTGGGGGGGAGGGAGAGGAGACCCTTTCCAGAAGAGCTGAGAGATTGCACAGGTTCAGAGCGGAAGATGTGGTAGCAAAGATGGGCAGGTGCCAAAGCATTTCGGGCTTTGTAGGTGATGTTTTGTGGATATTGCTTTATGTTTTTGATTTGCTTTGAGTTGTATTGTTTTATGTTGTTGTTATGTTGAGGCCTCGGCCTTTGTAAGTCCTTTGGGAGATGCTAGCGGGGTACAAATAAAGTTTAATAATAATAATAATAATTCTGCACCTTGTAGTGAGACCCGAAACTTATCAGCAGGAGCCAATGGAGCTGTTTGAAGTGGGCGGGTGGGTGGGGTGACCGCACCCTGGAATTTACTCTCATTAACAACCCTGCTGCTGACCTTTGCACTAAGGGCAGTTTCTGGGCCATCTTCAAAGGCAGCCCCAGGATGAGAAGAGGAAGAAGAGGAAGAAAGGAGGAGAGAGGAAGAAGGAGTGAAGGAAAGAGAGAAGAAGGAAGAGGAAGGAAAAGAGGAAGAAGAAGAGGAGGAGGAAGGAGAAGAGAGGAAGAAGGAGGGAGAGAAGGAAGGAGGAGAAGGAGGAAGAGAGAAGAGGGAGGGAAGGAGGGGAGAGAAGGAAGAAGGAGAAGAGGGAGAGCTAGCGACGGCGGAATGTCGGAGGAATAGAGAGACAGATTGGATAGGATAGATGAATGGGCAGGGGAGAGAAAGAGAGAGAGCGCCGAAGGAAGGAAGGAGAGAGAAAGAGAGAGAGAAGGAAGAGGAGAGAGGAGGAGAGGGAGAAGGAGAGGGAAGAGAGAAGGAAGGAAGAGAGAGAGAGAAGGAGAAGAGAAGAAGAGGAGAAGGAGAAGGAGGGAGGGGAGGGAGGGAGGGAGAAGGAAGGAGAGAGAGAAGGAGAGAGAGCTAGAAGGAAGGAAGGAGGGAGAGAAGGAAAGAGAGAGATAGAAGGAAGGAAGGAGAGGACGGAGAGAGAGAAGGAGGGAGGGAGGGAGAAGGAAGGAGAGAGAGAAGGAGAGAGAGCTAGAAGGAAGGAAGGAGGGAGAGAAGGAAAGAGAGAGATAGAAGGAAGGAAGGAGAGGACGGAGAGAGAGAAGGAGGGAGGGAGGGAGAAGGAAGGAGAGAGAGAAGGAGAGAGAGCTAGAAGGAAGGAAGGAGGGAGAGAAGGAAAGAGAGAGATAGAAGGAAGGAAGGAGAGGACGGAGAGAGAGAAGGAGGGAGGGAGGGAGAAGGAAGGAGAGAGAGAAGGAGAGAGAGCTAGAAGGAAGGAAGGAGGGAGAGAAGGAAGGAACGACAAGACCAAGAGAAGAGAGGGAGAGAGAGAGAGAAACTGAACGAATCAACAACAACGGAGGGGGTGATGCAGCTCTTGTCCTGACGGGCCCCTTCCTCTTCCTCCCTTCCTCCCTTCTTCCTTCTCCAGGGCCAAGATGCCTCCTCCGCCTCCGCCGCCGCTGCTCCTCCGGCTCTGCCTGTCGGCTGCCTGCTGGGCCTTCTTGGGGTGGGCCCCTCCATGGTTGGCCCACGCGTGCCCGGCGCCGTGTGCCTGCGTGGACAAGTACGCCCAGCAGTTTGCGGACTGCGCCTACAAGGAGCTGTCCACGGTGCCGCTGGGGCTGCCGTCCAACGTGACCACCTTGAGCCTCTCGGCCAACAAGATCTCCCTGCTGGGGAGGGGCTCCTTCGAGGGGGTGACCGGGGTGACCTCGCTGTGGCTGGCCCACAACCGCATCTCCGCCGTGGAGGAGGGCACGCTCTCCATCCTGGGCCAGCTGAAGAACCTGGACATGAGCCACAACCAGATCGTGGACTTCCCCTGGGAGGACCTGCGCAACCTGAGCGCCCTCCAGCTCCTCAAGATGAACAACAACCGCATGGCGTACCTGCCCAGGTGGGCCTTCCGCACCCTGCGCGACCTGCGCTCCCTCCGCATCAACAACAACCGCTTTGCCGCCTTGGCGGAGGGCACCTTCGAGCCCCTCACCTCCCTCTCCCACCTCCAGATCTACAACAACCCCTTCAACTGCACCTGCCAGCTCATGTGGCTCAAGAACTGGACCGAGAACACCTTGATCTCCATCCCGGAGCGGGAGGCCATCGCCTGCGCGGCGCCCGAGCCCTGGAAGGACCTCCCGTTGGCCAAGATCCCCGCCATACCCTGCTCCGCCCCCACCGTCGCCTTGACCTACCACCCCAACCTGGAGCGCACCTCGCTTGCCTACGGCTTGACCTTGGCTTTACACTGCCAGGCTTCGGGGTCACCTCCGCCGGAGCTCCAATGGCGCGTCCAGACCTCCTCGGGCCAAACGCTGGAGCTGCCCAGTCGGAACAAGAGTGAGCAGAGTAACCGGCTGCCCTCCGAAGACGGCGTGCCAGAGCCTTTCCGGACCTTTAGCAACGGCACTCTGGTGATCACGCACCTGAGCAAGAGAGAGGAGGGCACCTACACCTGCCTGGCCAGCAACGAGATGGGCGCCAACCAAAGCTCTGTCCATGTGGCCCTGGCGGATGCCCCCAAGGACCCCGACTCCCCCGGGCTGCAAACCCCCCTCGGAGGAGGAGAGGGCAAGCCGGAGGGCAAGGCCTCCAAGAACAGCGTCATGAAGCCGGACGAGAGGAGCAAACCGCCGACGCTCTCCCGGCCCACCCCGTCCCGGAACGTCCACGCTTCGCCGTCCGGGAGTGAGCTCCCAAGCAGCAGTGACCGGGCGGGGGGCGAGGACTCACCTTTCCAGCCCCCGCATTTCGAGAAGCGCTGTGGGCCCAGCCCTGAACCACGCTACGTCTCCAACCACGCTGCCTTCAACCAGAGCGCGGCCGCTCTCAAGCCCCACAGCTTCGACTTGGGAGTCATCGCCCTCGACGTGTCCGAGCGGGAGGCCAAAGTCCAGCTCACCCCCTTCTCCTCTTCCTCTTCCTCCTCCACGCCGGAGAAAGCGCACCTGAGGCGGCTCTACCTGTGCGAGGAGAAGCCTCCGGGAGGGCGGCCATCTTTGGTCCAGTGGTCCCGGATCGAGGAGGGCGTCAACGCCTACTGGTTCCAAGGCTTGCGGCCCGGCACCAACTACTCCGTCTGCCTGACCTACGCCGGCGAGGACTGCCCGGTCCAGGTGGTCTTCAGCACCAAGCAAGAGGTGCCCTCGCTCCTCATCATCGTGGTGGTCAGCATCTTCCTCCTGGGCGTGGCCACGGTCCCCTTGCTGGGGGCCACCTGCTGCCACCTGCTCTCCACGTACCAAGGCAAGACCTACAAGCTCATCTTGAGGGCCCGCAACCCGGACCAGATGGAGAAGCACATGGCCGCCGATTTCGACCCCCGGACGTCCTACCTGGGTTCGGAGAAGAACGACGACCCCAGCGAGGTTGGGGAAGGGGTCGGAGAGGAAGAGGAAGAGGACGGAGGAGGAGGAGGAGGAAGAGGGGAGCTGGGCAGAGCGGCCACCAGCCAAGGGCAGCTGGCCCGAGACGAGAGCATGGCGGCGAGCTCCCTGGCCGAATCCCAGTCCAAGACCAACCCGGAGGAGTTCGAAGTGGGCTCCGAATACAGCGACCGGTTGCCACTGGGAGCCGAGGCCGTCACCATCGCCCAGGAGATCAACGGCAACTACAAGCAGCCACCACGTTGAGGCCTCCACCGGGTTGAGGAGCGACCATCCGTCCACGCTTGGAGGTGGGAAGAGCCGTGGCCGTGGACTGAGCCCTCGGGCTTGACTTGAGGGAGGCCGAGGCACATCGCCAACTGACCGGGCGGCCTTGACCACGTGTTTGCTGCCTGCGAGCGGAGGAGAGGGAGCACGGGTGCCGCGTGGACCCCTCGGTACAAGTTGGCTTTGCAAAAAGGTTTCTCCCTTAAACGTGGACAAAAGAAGGGTCTGTGTTTGCATCGTTGTCGTGTCCAGAGTGTCTCCCCTTCCCTCCAAAGCTCTTCAACCGTTGTGGTGATTATTTGAAGGATAGGTAAACAATACACTTATAGGTCTGTGTTCTAAGACGGGGTTCGCCAGAGGGACGAAGCCCACCTTGACTCATAACTGGGTTGCTGTGAGTTCTCTGGGCTGTCTGGCCATGTTCCAGAAGCATTCTCTCCTGACGTTTCACCCACATAGATGGCAGGCGTCCTCAGAGGTTGTGAGGCCTGTCGGAAACTAGGCAAGTGAGGTTTATATGTCTGTGGAATATCTTGGGCGGGAGAAGGAACTCTTGTCTGGGTTGTTGTGAGTGTTCCAGGCTGTCTGGTCATGTTCCAGGAGCATTCTCTCCTGATGTTTTGCCTACATCTATGGCAGGCATCCTCTGAGGTTGTGAGATCTGTCAGAAACTTGGCAAGTGAGGTTTATATGTCTGTGGAATGTCTTGGGTGGGAAAGAACTCTCATCTGGGTTGTTGTGAGTTTCCTGGGGTGTCTGGCCATCTTCCAGAAACATTCTCTCCTGACATTTCGCCTGCATCTTTGGATTGCATCTTTTTTAATTGTCAAAGGCTTTCATGGCCGGAATCATTGGGTTGTTGTGGGTTTTCCAGGCTGTCTGGCCATGTTCCAGGAGCATTCTCTCCTGACGTTTTGCCTGCATCTACAGCAGGCATCCTCAGAGGTTGTGAGGCCTGTTGGAAACTAGGCAAATGAGGTTTATATCCCCGTGGAATGATGTCCAGGGTGGGAGAAAGAAATCTTGTTTGGGTTGCTTGTTTGTGTTGCTGGCCATGTTCTAGAAGCATTCTCTCCTGACGTTTCACCCACATCTATGGCAGGCATCCCCAGAGGTTGTGAGGTTTGTTGGAAACTAGGAAAATGAGGTTTATACCCCTGTGGAATGATGTCCAGGGTGAGAGAAAAAAAGAACTCTTGTCTCTTGGAAGCAAGTGTGAATGTTGCCATTGGCCACCTTGATTAGCATTTAATGGCCTTTCAGCTTCAAAGCCTAGCTGGTTGCTGCCTGGGAGAATCCTTTATTGGGAGGTGATTAGCTCACCCTGATTGTTTCTGGTCTGGAATTCCCCTGTTTTTATTTTTATTTGTTTTTATTTATTTTTAATTTTTATTTACTTTTATTCTTATTCTTATTTATTTATGTATTTATTTACTACATTGATATCCCGCCCCTCTCGCTCCAAGGGCGACTCGGAGCAGTTAACACTAGGCAACAATTCGATGCCGGAGCAGTTACAACAAAATAAAATCAATACTTTAAAATACTAACAGCACTATAAAAACATAAAAATCATACACAGCATTTAAAAACATTATCAAAGCGTCTCCATCTCAAATCATTTCCAGTTACATCGTTACAATATCCTATATCTATGCCAGTGGTTCTCAACCTTCCTAATGCCGTGACCCCTAAATCCAGTTCCTCGTGTTGTGGTGACTCCCAACCATATTTTCATTGCTACTTCATAACTGATACTATTATGAATCATAATGTAAATATCTGATATGCAGGATGTATTTCCATTACAAATTGGAACATAATTAATACATAATTAATTAATGTTTGGGGGAGTATGGACAATGGATGATGGGATCTGCAGTACCTTCAACTGACTTCCACAGACCACTGAGCCCCACAAATAACATCCATGGGCCAAACCCGACACCCAGAACCCCCATTGCCAAAAGAAAATACTGGAGGGGGTTGGGAGGAATTGACAGTGATTTACGAGAGATGTAGAACATGACCAACATAAGATACTGGAAGGGTTTGGTGGGCATTGATCTTGAGTTTGGGAGTTGTAGTTCACCTACATCTGGAGAGCACTATGAACCCAAACAACTATGGGTCTGGACCAAATTTGGCACAAATGCTCAATATTCCCAAATTTGAACACGGGTGGAATTTGGAGAAAATAGACCCTGGTATTTGGGAGTTGCAGTTGTGTGGATTTATAGTTCCCCTTCGATCAAAGAGCTTTCTGAACTTCACCAGCACCCTGAGGATGACACATGGGGCCTGCACGAGGAGGCGGGGCCGCGACCCCCCGAGAATTGCCAAACGACCCCTCTGGGGGTCGCGACCCCCAGGTTGAGAACCACTGATCTAGGCCATATTTGGGAAGGCCCAGGGACGGCCCCAGGTAATTTTCAGATGCAAGCAAACGGTGCCCCCTAACCAAGCATTGAAAAATTATATATATATACACACACACTCCTTTGAGGCACGCAGAGGGCCTGCCTCGGTAGCGGCAGCTTCCCCCTCTGCTACTCCGCTACTCCGCGCTCCTTCCTGGCCAGGCTGGGCACCAGGCTTGGGAGCCCAGTGTGGCGAGGAAGGGAAACGTTGAGGCATGGAGCAACGGATGGGCAAGGAGGTGGGCGCTGCCGAAGAGGGCCTCGGCAGCTTCCCCCTCACCTCTCCGCTGCTCTGTGCATCTTCCTCGCCAGGCTGGGTGCCAAGCTTGGGAGCCCAGCCTGGCAAGGAAGGCATGCTCCCTGCATGAGGCCTCCTTTCCCGAGTGCGCGTCCCTCTCCTGCCTTAGGAAATGCGTGCCCCGCATCGCCCCTCCTTCCCCATGCACTTCCTAACGCCGGGAGAGGGACACACACCAGCTTAGTCTCCCTTGGCCTGCGAAGAGGAGGAGGAGAGGAAGACAATGCACGTGCACATGCACACTTGTGAGGGAAGGAGGGAGGGAGAGTGAGCTGCCTCTGGGTATTGTTCGGGGCAGGGGCGACTCAAGAGCTCCTCTAGTGCGCCCCCCTGAGATGTGCGCTCTATGCAAAAGCGTAATTTGCGTGCCGCTTGAGCTGCTTGAGCCTGTTCCGCTTGAGCCTGTTCAAAAAGCCAGGTTTTCACCATTTTTGGGTGCTGTTCATACAATCCTAGAATCCTAGAGTTGGAAGAGACCTGGTGGGCCCTCATCCAGTCCAACCCCATTCTGCCAAGAAGCAGGAATATTGCATTCAAAGCACCCCTGACAGATGGCCATCCAGCCTCTGCTTCAAAGCTTCCAAAGAAGGAACCTCCACCACGCTACGGGGCAGAGAGTTCCACTGCTGAACGGCTCTCGCAGTCAGGAAGTTCTTCCTCATGTTGAGGTGGAATCTCCTCTCTTGTAGTTTGAAGCCATTGTCCCCTTGCATCCTAGTCTCCAGGGAAGCAGAAAGGAAGCTTGCTCCCTCCTCCCCCCTGTGTCTTCCTCTCACATATTTATGCATGGCTCTCATCATGTCTCCTCTCATCCTTCTCTTCTTCAGGCTAAACATGCCCAGCTCCTTAAGCCGCTCCTCATAGGGCTTGTTCTCCAGACCCTTGATCATTTAGTCACCCTCCCTATGACATATTCCCTTCTCATATTTATACATGGCTGTCATCATGTCTCCTCTCAGCCTTCTCTTCTTCAGGCTAAACATGCCCAGCTCCTTAAGCCACTCCTCATAGGGCTTGTTCTCCAGACCCTTCATCATTTTAGTCGCCCTCCTCTGGACACATTCCTCTGTTCTTTATTTACTGTTATGATTTTAGAGTTTTGGTACTGGTAGCCAGATTTTGTTCATTTTTGTGGTTGACATTGTCCACATTCTTGTCAGGAGAGAATGCTTTGGAACGTGGCCATATAGGCCGGAAAACACACAACAACCCAGTGATTCCGGCCATGGAAGCCTTCGACAATACATACAACTCTGTTTCAGGCAGTTGTGGATGTTGCCATTGGCCACCTTGAATAGTCGAGCCTTTCAGTTTCAAAGTCTGGCTGCTTACTGCCTGGGGGAATCCTTTGTTGGGAGGTGTTAACCGCTCTGGAACATGGCCATACAGCTTGGAAAACTCACCGCAACCCAATGATTCTGGCCACGAAAGCCTTCGACAACACATTAAATCATAACATTATAAGGCCCAATATTATATGCACTTTTCAATTAATATGGAGATTATGCAAAGGAGGAAGAAATCCATTTACATGGAAGAATATAGACGATTTCACCGGAATGGCGAATCCCAAGGTGTTAAATTATATTATACTGTTTAGAGTTGTTGCAAAGTTACTTTTTGGTGAGGAAACCCCACTTTCCTAGTTTCCAACACACCTCACAACCTCTGAGGATGCCTGCCATAGATGTGGGTGAAACGTCAGGAGAGAATGCTTCTGGAACATGGCCAAACAGTCCGAAAGCCTCACAGCAGCCCAGTGATTCCGGCCACAAAGCCTTCAACAATACGTTGTGATGTGTCTTTGTATAAAGGGACGGGAGGGGCAGATCAAGGGGGACCCCCGCCCAACCGGCGTCCTATATTATACAGTACAGTTGTTATCCAATGTCAATAATCAATGGGGTCCTGGTGTTGTGTCATGTACAGTGTGTGGCTCTGGGGCCTCTCCGTGGGGTGCGTTCCGTGGTGGAGTAACGGAGGAGGAGGCTCCAGCTTTTTTAGGGGGCCTTTTTGCCCTGATCCCTTTTTTTCCAAACCCTTTTGCCTCCCTCCCTCCCTCACTCCCGAAGACCCGCCATTCCTCCCTCCTTCCTTCCTTGTCCTGTAGTTTGTGGATAGGCAAGTGTTCTTTCCCTTGGTGTGCATTTTGTGGTGTTGAAAAAGCGGCGGGGAAAATAATGATAATAATAATGATGATGATGATGAGAAGCAACTGGCAAATCTTACACAATATGAGGATTTAAAGATTTGGCTCTGGCAGAAACCAGTCAAGGGGGTCCCAGTGGTGATCGGCACACTGGGTGCAGTGCCTCAAGACCTTGGCCTGCACTTAAAAACAATCAGCACTGACAAAGTTACCATCTGTTAAAGACAGAACTGCAAAGACTGTGGAACAATCCATTAAAGGTGGTCCCAGTCATGATCGGCACACTGGGTGCAGTGCCTCAAGACCTTGGCCTGCACTTAAAAACAATCGGCACTGACAAAGTTACCATCTGTTAAAGATCGAACTGCAAAGATTTTGGGGTAAGCCATTAAAGGTGGTCCCAGTCATGATTGGCACACTGGGTGCAGTGCCTAAAGACCTTGGCCTGTACTTAAAAACAATTGGCATTGACAAAATTACTGTCTGTTAAAGATAGAACTGCAAAGACTCAGTCAAGGTGGTCCCAGTGGTGATGGGCACACTTGGGTTCAGTGCCTCAAGACCTTGGCCTGCACTTAAAAACAATTGGCGTTGACAAAATTACCATCTGCTAAAGATTGAACTGTAAAAACTCTGGCACAAGCCAGTCAATGGGGTCCCAGTCATGATTGGCACACTGGGTGTAGTGCCTAAAGACCCTGGCCTGCACTTAAAAACAATTGGCGCTGACAAAATTACTGTCTGTCAAAGATAGAACTGCAAGGTGGTCCCAGTCATGATCAGCACACTGGGTGCAGTGCCTAAAGACCTTGGCCTGCACTTAAAAACAACCGGCATTGACAAAATTACTGTCTGTTAAAGATAGAACTGCAAAGACTCAGTCAAGGTGGTCCCAGTGGTGATTGGCACACTTGGGTTCAGTGCCTCAAGACCTTGGTCTGTGCTTAAAAACAATTGGCGTTGACAAAATTACTGTCTGTTAAAGATAGAACTGCAAAGACTCTGGCACAAGCCAGTCAAGGGGGTCTCAGTGGTGATCAGCACACTTGGGTGCAGTGCCTAAAGACCCTGGCCTGTACTTAAAAACAATTGGCATTGACAAAATTACTGTCTGTTAAAGATAGAATTGTAAAGGCTCTGGCACAAACCAGTCAAGGTGGTCCCAGTCATGATCAGCACACTGGGTGCAGTTCCTAATGACCTTGGCCTGCACTTAAAAACAATTGGCGCTGACAAAATTACTGTGTGTTAAAGATAGAACTGCAAAGACTCAGTCAAGCTGGTCCCAGTGGTGATTGGCACACTTGGGTTCAGTGCCTCAAGACCTTGGCCTGCACTTAAAAACAATTGGCGTTGACAAAATTACTGTGTGTTAAAGATAGAACTGCAAAGACTCAGTCAAGGTGGTCCCAGTGGTGATTGGCACACTTGGGTTCAGTGCCTCAAGACCTTGGCCTGCACTTAAAAACAATTGGTGCTGACAAAATGTCTGTCTGTTAGGAATAGACCG